ATGAAGAGTTTCTAATACTTAATAGAAGAAAGCAGTGTGAAAACTTCCTTATAGTTCTACAAATGAAAAATTTCACTTTAATATGACAGTGTTATTTTTTAGTGATTTCTTTGAAATCTCACACGATGTTAGAATGCATTAACAAAAACAGAGTAAAGGATGCAATGATTACATTCCTCTTTGTATAGCTACCTGGAGTGCTGAACAGTGCATAAAACGACAGGATTAATACAAGAATTATTAGGAAGGAATTCAAAACCATCTCAAAAAGGATGTGTATAAAGAAATCCAAATTAAAAAATAAATGATTAAGCTAACTTATCTTTGAGGTATTTCCACATCAAAAATACACTAATTTTTTTTTCTTATCTGCATTTTCATAGCTCTTTTTTCTGTCTTTTTCCAATTATGTTATAATAGATTTAAAATCCTTGGATTCTAATCTGGGATCTGCCAGAAGCTGTATATGAGAATTTGAACAAGTTATTTAAATTCCATGAATCATAATTTATTCATCAACTATGAAATGAAAATATTAATACATATCTTACACAATTATATTAACATTTAACTAGAAAATGGTTGTGGAAATTCCATGCAATCTATTAACGTGCCCCCATCTTTTTCTTCATGCTTTCTCTATTTTTTTCTTTCCTTTTTTTTGTCTTTCCCTGCCTTTCTTAGTCCTCGACGCTTTCACTCTCTTTGTCATTTGCTCCTCTCTAATAAAGTCTGCTCATTTGCCAGTCAAGTTGCCATGATTCAGTCCTCAGCCAAGGAGACCACACTTCCTTCTGGGGATATTTGCTGTTTCTACAGTTTGAATCACAATAAACATTATCTTTTCATAAATAGGATCTCTGATTGCTTTTTTTCCTTGTGAATCTACTGGTAGAAAGCAGTGAAATTTGGTCCCTTGGATCATCAACTTATTGTCATTTCCCCCCTTTTCAGGATAGCATCTAACTTCCATGGAGATAAAGAATCACACTTTGGCCACAGAGTTCATTCTGCTGGGCATCCCCCACACAGAGGGGCAGGAAACTGTGCTCTTTGCTGTGTTCTTGATCTTCTACCTCTGCACTCTGCTGGGAAATCTGCTCATCCTCCTAGCTGCGATGTCTGATTCCCACCTCCACATGCCTATGTATTTCTTTCTTTGTAATCTGTCCGTGCTGGACATTGGTTTCTCTTCTGTGAGCACTCCAAAGATGCTGGCCACCTTGCTGGTGAGAAGCCAAGTCATCTCTCTGGGTGGTTGCATGTGCCAGGTCTTTTTCTACCACTTCCTGGGCAGCACTGAGTGCCTGCTCTACACAGTAATGGCCTACGACCGGTTTGCTGCCATCTGCTACCCACTGCGCTACACCATCATCATGAACCGCCTGGTGTGTGCCCTGTTGGCTGTGGGTACCTGGTTCACTAGCTCCTTTCATGCTATAATTCTCACCACATTGACCTTCCAACTGCCATATTGTGGCTCTAATGAGGTGGACTATTTCTTTTGTGACATTTTCCCTGTAGTCAAATTGGCATGTGGTAACACCCTATCATTGAGACGGTGAGCTTCACCAACATTGGCCTCGTGCCCATGAACTGCTTCCTCCTCATCCTTGCCTCATACATCCCCATAGTCGTCCTGAAGATGCGCTCTGCCAAGGGGAGGCGCAAAGTGGCATCTACCTGCGTCTCCCACCTCTCAGTGGTCACACTGTTCTTTGGGCCCTGTGCCCTCATCTATACCCAGCCACCTTTGAGTGAAGTGCTAGTAACCCCAGCGCAGATCTTTGGCAATGTAGTCACCCCCATGCTGAACCCCACAATCTACACCCTGAGAAACAAAGATGTAAAGGGAGCCCTGAAGAAACTAGCTGGGGCCAAGATTGTTTCAGAAGGAGGTCACTAGTCCACTTGTGGGTGAAGCTAACTTTTTTTCCTCCTCATTTGTATATTAAGCTAACTTTTAAAAAATCTATCCATGTAAGTTGTAAGGGTCTTTCAGCCATGAAAGAGCTTGGAAACAATTCTAATGGATACAAAGCTGTGATAGCTTTCTCATCTCCTGGGCCAGATATTTGAAGGTTCAGATAGTAAATATTTTAGGTGCTGTCCGTCATATAATCTGTCACAAATACTCAACTCTGCTGTTGTAGCATGAAAATAGCGATACAAAATCTATAAGCAAATGGTGAGGTCATGTTCTAATAAAACCTTACTTATAAAAAGAGGTGGTGGGTAGGATTTGGCCCACAGGCCATAATTTTCTGACCCCTTTCATAAAGCCTAGCTGAAGTTTAAAACACTTTTCACCACTATGTTAATAGTGGCTTAAGAGTGGACTCTGACGTGGGCTGGGTTCCCCCAGGACACGAGTTGGATTACTGATCAGGAATAGGCAGCGAAGTGATGGACAGTGAACATGCCCTAAGGAGACCTCCACTGTAGCCCAAGTACACACAAGGAGAACTGTCCCTTGCTGCAGGCCCATCTGCCTGCGATCCATGCCAATGATAGAAATGCACTCATTCCTCTAGTCCTGTAACCAAGATGGCTTGTGGCCAATTTTCTTACGTATGAAGGTAAATGACCACTACTCTTGCTCATAAATATAAGCTCTTTCACCCAAGAAGTTACAGAATTCAGTATCACCACCTCAGAGGTCACTCAGCTTTCCTCTCCCAGTATCAGTCATTCCATGAGTGTTCCATTCATAAACCACCATAAGGGCTGGGGTAGGACCCTCTGAACATTCTATTGAAAAGTACTACCAAACTCTGTCACAAGATAAGATTATCTTGTCT